GCCGCAGCACGATCAGCACTCGCTTCTTCACCACCAATGTTTATATTGGTGATCTTGTTCCGGATCTTAAACCTCTGTAACCACCCAGAGGAAGCAGTAAAGGGTTTGGGCTCTGAAGTTCCCATCTTTCGTGCCACTGCCATGTACAGTTCACGTGCGTAGTCCTTCACAGAGCGCGTGTCGACCGCCATGTTGCGTCGCGCCTGACGCACCAAGTACCTCACAAGTAATTTTTCTGTCTTGAGAAGCACCCGGTTGTGAAAATACTTGATCATAGAAGCACCTGTAGACTTTGTGATCTTCATGTGCTCCTTTATCTTGGCTGAATCCTTCTTTATAGTCCGGATCGTAGATTCGTTGACGCCATGCTGGCGCGCGAGATCAACTTGCCGTGTTCCTTTCTCCAAATCTTGAATAATTTGGTACTTCACCTCGTAGCTTAAGGAACGTCGTGTCCTCTTTGGCTTAGTGCCGCTGGGTCCAGGTAAGGAAAGGTTTTTCTCTGGGGGTGGTGGTCCGGCGGAAGCCATTTTACGGAACAATGGATGCGCGATAACACGGAGTGGCCTTGAGGGATGAAACTGTCGCGGCTAGGTCAAGCGTCGTCTCTCCTCCCTCCCTCCCTGCCCCGGGTGGACACGTCATAATACTTTAAGCCAATTACAGCTAGCAGCAGAGGAGGGTAGGGATGCATGGCCAATCACAGGTCTGATACGTCATATGACGTCAGTGATAACGCAACAAAGACACACTGCGCAACCTTACCGCGCCGCTTGCCCAAGCGGAGGGAGGAGGAGGGAGAGGCAGGCAGGCGCGTGGCGCGTGGGTCAAATCTAAAAATAGCGTCGCGCCGGACACTCTCCGCGGAATGGCGTTCGCGACCGCGAAATGTGAAAATGTTAGGTTCTGGCAAGGCACCGCGGTAACGGTGAAACGCGGATTGCGGGACCGCTTAATGTGAGGACCACTGAATTAATTTTTTTTTTTAATGGGGATTAGCCCACCCGGGTACAGGTCACTGACCCACATCAGGGCCTGGGGGGTGAAAATTTAATAATAATAATAATAATAATAATAAAAATAAATATTGTATTATAATAATTAATACAAAATAATTATTGTATTATAATAATTAATAAAAAATAATTAAAAATTAAATAATAATATTAATTATAATAACAATAATAACCAAAAATAAATAAATAAATAAAAAACAAAAAATAAATAAAGAGTGAGAAACGATATACTGTATGTATGTTGTGTTGTCCAAGTAAGAGAAACAATTGACCCTACAATAGTGTGTAAATGAAGCAGAAAGTCAGGTCAGCAACCTGGGACTTGGTCACAATTTTTGTGATGCCATATGGCAGCAGGGTCTACCATTAGAAAATATGTTAAGCTTCCAATATCTACCCAGGCAGTAGAACTTCCCTGTTTGATAGTTGCCTACTACCTACTGCAGATGTGCTGCTGGTGTAAGACACTGGGTAATCCAAATGTAAAGCTGGCTATTTTGTGGACAGTGAAGACCATAACAAAACATGTTTTTTATAGCACCTAGAATAAACATATGACTGCCGTGGTGTGCTTGACCAGCAGAGTTTGTAAAGTACTAAACAACATAATAAGAGATGCCATTAGTACAGGAACATTAGTGTAGAGACCTGGTTAAAATGAATATATACCCAGTAGCTGAAAGTATCAGGAAAGTTTCCCTATATTATACCTTGAAACATACCAAAAGTCCCCTAAGGTCTTCCTGCTGCTCATCTTGACACCTGTAAGAAAAGAAGAATACATTGATTAACTTGTGTACACCTCTGGCTTCATCATATTCAAATAATATACAATATGTGCAATATCAATTAGCCATAAACATTAACTGCCCAACATATACCGGGTATGCCTGCACTCTGGTAAATAAATGAACTTGCAGCTGAAAATAGAGACAATATGAGGACATGTAGTTAGCGTAATATTCTCAGACTAATGTAAAAATCACAAAATGAGATTAGAAAAGACATTTTGTAACATTAAAGACAATCAAGAATGACTTTTGGCTGACTGATGGTACCAAAAGAACATAGAATCTTTGAAAATGTGCAACTGTAGTGTTTGCTAGGCAACAGTGTCATTTTCACTGTGAAGCAGAAAGGGGATGTCCAGGGACTTTTAGTATGTTTTAAAGAATAATATTGAGAACTTTCCTAAAATTTTCAGTTTTGTTAATTTTGTTTAGCTTTATACAGTCACAGCTAAAATTACTGGACTATATGCTGGAACATATGCTAGGTAACAACCTAAAGTTAATTTTTTATTGATATCCAAAATAAGCAGCCCCCCCCTACCCTCCCTTCCTCCCTCCCCCCCTCCCCCCTCATTCATTCTAGTTTGAGGTTGTGATTGGTTGGACCGAGACACCTTCAATCTCATGAGTTCCGAGTCAAAATGATCACCCACTTGTCCCTCAACAGTCAACAACGAAAACTGCTCACTTAATCATAGAGTATTACAGTTTAACCAGAAATATCCAGCTTAACCATTTGTGGACTAGGCTAACAGTAATGTCATAATAGGGTTTAAATAAATGGTTCAACTTGAAAGACTCGATGGATGTAAGTGAATTCTGACTGTTTCTTTGTTTCAGTGAATTTTTTATTTTTTACACAAGTTTGGTTTCAAAAATGTTGTAACAAATGTCTCCTAATTATGAACAGATATACAGTAATCATATTCATGAATCACCAATAGTTGCCATCCTGCTCAGTGACAGTTATAACATGACATGCGTAAGTTGATAGTGAGATTTCGTCTCTGTAGTTCTTGGTGCATCACTATATGAAAGGGAAAAATTGATATCTAATACTGTATTTATTATAGTACAATACATTTCATGGACGTAAAAATTATTAGTGAATGGTTTGTCATAATTGAAAAATCTTGAAAAGTTCTCTTGTAGCAGCATTTGGCAATTAAACTTTTCCAAGACGAATTAAAATACAAATATAATGGATACCAATCGATGTGTATATTTTCTTATATTTATAATAACCCTAACAGCTAAATAAGATAAATCAAGTAAAATTCATAAAAACATATGGTTTTTTTATGTACTTTTAGTAAGCTACAGTGTGTCAACCCGATTTATATAATTATAATTTCAATATATTGGAAGTATCTGTCATCTTGTTGATTATGTCTTAGTCCTGAAGATCCCTAATGTAAGCACCACTGGGTGACTTTTTCACACAAATCTATCACGTCAGCTTCAGCCCTGATTTTTATATTATTGATCATCGTATTCTTCCCATGAAAAAAGTCCATTTATATTCATTCGTTTGATAACTACATAATCTGGTGTGAAGATACATTAATAATTTTTGCAAAACTTCATTTTGAAAAATGACATAATGACTAAAATTTGCTTCCACGGGGCATATTGTTGCATCATCCAATCACAAAACAACACTTCATACCGGTAGGCAGTGCTTATTTTGGATATCAATATAAAATTAACTATAATACAGGAATGCCAACGTAGTTTTATGCTTGGACGCTCCTGCTTGATGCAATTACTTATGGTGCTATTTGTTTGGAGTCAGATCCTTAAGCATGGTGGCAATATTGACAACGTATATCTGGACTTTGCCAAGGCTTTCAACAGTGTACCCCCACAAAAGGCTGAGAAATAAACTGGAAGGGTATAGGATTCAGTGAGTATTCTAGCATGGATCGGAGATCTTCCTGACTGCAAACAGTGTGTGAGGATTAATAGCATGAAATCATGTTGCATACCAGTGAGGTACCACAGGGCAATTTACTTTTACCTTTATCCTCTTCACCACTGATCGGCTCATTAGCAGCTTGGGTGGCTCCTGAATATATCGGAACCTGCTCCAGTGTTGGTCAAGTCTGGCTTGAAAGAACTCACACTCAGTGCCGTCATAACACTTTCTGTCAGATTGCTCCAAGAATTCACAATTCTCACTCCAAATAAGTTTGCCCTCACTGTTTTCTGGACTTGTGGCTTCTTCACCCCTGAGCCGTGATCCCTTGTGGGGCAGGCGTCCGCCAGCTCCAAGTATGTACATTCGACCGAGTATGCCCTCTGAGATGCTTATACACTTTGATTAGGTCGCCCCTTGCCCGTCTATAGTATAAGCTAGGTAATTGCAAGCGTTCTAATCTCTCTGGGTAGCTGAGGTTCCATAGAGCAGGCACCAGTCTGGTGGCCCTTTGTTGGACATTTTCAATTGGTTAGTAGTCTATAGCATACCTCGGGTACCAGACGGGGTAACAGTACTCCAGACAGGGAGGCGTTTCTCTCTTGAAGATTTTGATGAGCGATGGACCATCCTGATATCTAAACAACCTTATAAGACCCACTAGTTTTGTTGGTTGATTCACCTTCTTCTCACAATGGCCCGAGAACTTGAGTTCCTTGCCGACATAGAGACACAGATCCTTTTCACATTCGGTCTCAATTAATGCATTTTCTTTGTCTTGTTGGTGAGACCTAGTTGCATCTTCTTGCACTTCGTGACAATGAATCTCAGCAGCCATTTCTTCGACCATTCTTGAAGCTCACAGAGATCATTCTGTAGCTCTTCACAGTCTTTTTGGTTCCTAATTTCCCAAAATAACTTGGCATCGTCCGCTGACTTTGTATGGAGGAATGGATATGCATTGTTTGGTGAATTTTTGGGCCTCTGGTACCTTTTTGTATTGAATTACTTGTTTTTAATATCATAAATGAAATATTTTGTGAACATTCTTAGTCCTTAATTCACGAAATAACCTATTTGTAGTGTATTGCATAATTTGCTCTGACCTATGCATATTCTCATAATACTGAACTTGACCCATCCTCTCCCAGATTTCCAAGTGTTTCCCATTTTACCACCTCCCCTCTCCCCCCGTCTTAAGATTGATTTATGCATGTATCTCGATCATACTTTGGATTAAAATTGGTGCTGGTAATTTTTTCCTATGTTTTACAGGACTTGCTTTAGATGAGGCTGGAAATCTGTTGACACTGGAGGAGGGATCTTGTGGGACAATTAACATTCTGACTGTGTGTCCCATTAAAAAAGCTGTAACAGCTAGAGTGAAAGTCGAATTGCAGATCTCTTATCCTGACATTCCTTTTAGCAAACCTCGTTTTTTGGCATGGCACAGCTGCAATACACTCTTGGTTGTGGACCTAGGTATGTAAATACAAGCATAATATGATTTTTTTGTTACTCAATCTTTTTCGTTCATCTGTCTCAGGCAGGGGTGGAGAAACTTATAAAGTTGGGGTCCACATAAAAATTTTAATGATTCTTCAAGGGCCACCAATTATTTTCAGTGTTAATAATGTAATCTTTGCAGATGTAATGGATCTGTTACCCAGGAACATCATCCAAATGTAGTTCAGTACCCATGAGACTTAGACTATGTATGGGAGTTATAATAGTGTACAGTATACTGTATCATGTAACTTTCATTCAAATCTATAAATAAATTTATACTACCCCCACCCCGACTCTCCTTTTAAAAGAGAGAGAGAGAAAAAAGAATTTACTGAATTCAGATGTAGTTGTGGGTCACCCTGAGACCTATGGCCTGGAAGCTACAGTTTCCCCATCCCTGGTCTAAGAAAAAGTAAGTTGTATAATTATTTATTTACATTTGCAGATAACAGTAAACTCTTGCTGCCTACACTCCTACTTCAGCTTTAATGTACACTGTATCCATTCCATAATTTATCTTGCAGATTATTAATTCTACAGTTTATGAGATAACTGATTGTTAGTTGAAATTATTAGTACAGTAGTACCCTGATTTACGCGGTCAATTGAACCCACAGGGTACCGCGTTAAGTGAAATCTGTGTAAATGGAACAACAGAACATATGGGATTAATTCCAATAGAGACTGGCCCGACCCCCAAACTCCACTTTTTTCGACACAATACCTATGTTGTAGTAAAAATAACATCTAAATTTTATGATGGTATGCTCACACAATTAATATTTAAGAGAAATACAGTCGCCAGGTTAATGTCCATTCAAATAATGGACTCAAATCCCCCCCCCCTCTTCCCAGCTCACTGGCCCCTACCTCTCTGAGAAATGATTGGGTGAAACACTAGATTTTAACGTTTAGTAATAAATAATACCTCAGACTAAAGTTAGGATAATATAATTGACATTTCTGGATTCCTTGCAGGTCAGGGAATATTTTGAATGTAAACTTCATATATTTTGCACAAAAGATAAAATACTTGCTTTGTGTAAACCAAATTATTACATTAGATCTAAAATTTGTATGTCTAATGCAAAATCCATGATGTTTATATTCAAAATGATCATCATATTGTAAGAATTCCAGCAATGTAAATTATATTCTGGTCCAGTAATTTGTATGAATTTTATGAGCTAAAACAAATATTTCAGTTAATAAAAAAAAATATTCTTCACGACACTATCTGTCAATCAAAGTACCCCAACTTGCCTCCCGCCCTCTTCCAACCGCGCCAGATGGTCTGTCGTCCCAACCCTCCCCCCACCTTCCCTCCCTACCAGAGAAATGTTGGGTGAAAAAACTAATTTTAACTTTTAGTAACAAATAATACCTCAGACTAAAGTTAGGATAATATAATTGACATTGCTGGATTCCTTGTAAGACCAGGAACATTTTGAATATAAATGTCATATATTTTGCACAAAAGATAACATATTTACTCAGAGTAAACATTACATCTAAAATTTGTGTGTCTAATGCAAAATCTATGATGTTTATATTCAAAATGATCATCAAATTGTAAGAATTCCAGCAATGCAAATTATATTCTGGTCGGGTAATTTGTATGAATTTTATGAGCTAAATAAAAAAAAAATTATACTTCACGCGTATATGGGTAGACGAACCGCGTAAAGTGAAAGTTCGGTTCTGGCGAGGCACCACGTATATGAGAAATCGCGTAAAGTGAAACCGCGTAAAGCGGGGTACAACTGTATACAAGGGGTCTCATTTTACGTTGATCTCATGGGTGCAGTTATCACTTACGCGATTGGTTGAAAATTTACCAGAATTATAGTTACGCACATGGAAAGCCATGGGTAGTGCAGGTAGCAGTATAGCATTAATGTAGTGATCTTTTGCTTATTTAGCACCAAATTTTAAAATTTTAGCCATTTTAGTTATTGAACATTATTTTTATAATGTATCAGTACTGTAACGAATAAATCAAAACAAATTGTTGAACGTGGCAACAGCCAGTCCCCCTGCCCTCCTCCAGCATGTTTACATGTGGTATCATCTCTTGTACCTATTAGCTCTTGTTGGGCCTAGAACACTGCACAGTATCCCTGTTAAAGGCTACAGTTTATATTTTAATAAATATTGTTTGTAGTATATTTAAAAAAAAAATCATTATTTTTTAATAAACTGTACTACAGTACACCATACCTTTGTTAATTTGACAAAAATGGGGGTTATTGGTCACTCGAATTACTGAAAAATCTGGTACATGAGAAATAGTGAGTGCTGGCAACATTGTTTGGGAGAGTAGGAACAATCAATGATACCACTATGCTGTAAACAAGGGACCGCAATAGCTCATCTGGGATTGATTGTTGGAATTTGGGGGGAAAAGTTTTTATTCTTCAATAATGTTTTATTAACCCGGCACCAAATGAACCTAAATAATGTTGGAATAATGGTGAAAGTGCATACTGTTGTTAGAAAGGGGTCTCAGGCTGCTAAGCAGGTGGCGGCGAGTTGTCCCCCCCCCCACCAATCACCAACATACCCAAACATAGTTTTGTATCTTAATTTAATTCATGTTTTATTCCTATAATTCATTCATCTTAATCTATTTCATAATACAGTAGAAGTTCAAAAATCCGGACTTCTTGGGGATTGGGTAGGTCCGGATTTTCGGATTTTCCGGATTCTCAGGCAGTACTTTTAAAATTAAAATTTAAGGAGGAATAAAGAAGAGATGAACAGGTACATTTTGATAAGGAGGAATAAAGAAGAGATGAACAGGTACATTTTGATAGTTTATTCATTAGCAAATAAAGCATGCTTCATTTATCAAAACGAGCAGTTTTAAAGAAATATAAAGTCAACACTAGACAAAATGTAAACAAACTGTCTAATACCATGACGAGTCTTGAAATTCCTAAGCCATCCATCACTAAATGCGCACTCTGATTCGATGTTCATTTGCTCCTTAAAAGACTTTGCTTGGGCAATAAGTATCGGCCCAGAAATTGCCATACCTTCTGATCGTTTTAACAAAAACCATTCGTACAACACTTTATCAAGGTTTTCTAATTTGGGCCAATGTCAACTTTTTCTTTCAGCAATTTTAATGTAAGGCTCAGAAGAAGCTGTGAATTCTAGAATTTTATTCTTTGCCTTTTTTATATCATAAATTGTAGACTTTCCAATGTCGTATGTTTCCACTAGAACAGCATTGCTCACACCACGTTCTAGTTTCTTAATTATTTCAAGTTTGTCACTCAATTTCAATGTGTTCTTCTTTCTCTTCACACATTGAAGTTTATCTACTTTAGGGGCCATTATTATGGGCTTGTACTCTGTACATGGAAAGAGTAGGACTCAAAATTACATACGTTGTCACAGTTTGATTGCTTGTTTTAAAGTGGCGATCGCTTGGTCGTTTGTTGTCCCTGTGCAGCTGTGGCATTCACTCATGCACACCTACACACAAAAGATTTATAGTGCCTCAAATTTTACATTTCAGTTCAAGCTAATTACAAACTAACAAAATTAGCTACCTGTAATTTACAATTACTTATATTATTAGAATTATGTAAATTAATTTTTTAAAGCAACTCCATTCATTCACGTAACCCACAAAAGACCGCTAAATTTAAAAAGTTTGAGTTTTCGAAAAGTCCGGATTCTCGGGTGGTCCGGATTCCTGGCATGCGGATTTTTGGACTTTTACTGTATATTCCTATAATAAAAATTGACTTTTCAGAACCGCACGGTTATTTCAAAGTCGTTCAGGATTCAAATTGTTTATTTATTTTTTGAAAGAAAAAAGTGAAATAGGCCGAATTAAGAAGGGTACAGAGTACTGTACATTACTTATGTCTTTATTCAAGACATTTTCTGGTCATGAGACCCATTAATTCCCCACCCCAACAATGGGTGACCTGACAATGCATCAGGTGAGTAATATGAGACCACTAATCCCTCAACCACCTTCACAGCATATTAAATAAGTTTATAAACAAAGGGTGACCTGATTTTACTTGAGAGAATGAGGAGAAATTTACTTTTTTCCCACATATAATGTTTCTTTCTAATCTCTATTTACTATTTAGTCTTTAATTGCCATCTATATCATGAAGGATATAGATAGGAGGTGGAAGGGGGGTGGTAGAGGCAGGGTGTGGTGGAGGGAGGGAACGTTGATATGGTGTCCCCCCCCCCCCCAGGACACACTTGTCCTTGTACTTATTTGTATTTTCTTAACTACCATCTTGAAGCCTCAGATTCGATATGCTTACATGTGTCTTTAAATTTGATTTTGCTTAAAGGTAGAAAGCCTATGGATTTGACTTGACCTCACTTGCAATCCACTTCTGGAACCCTGTTTCACCTCTTCTGCACTCTGACTTTTCTTGGTTCCTGGACCTAGCATAAATCGTTCATCTGTAACGATCTCCTTGTATTCCTGGAGCCAGTGGGTTTGATCTTTGGTGTACTATATACAGTATTTATTAATCAGATAGTTCACTTTACTGGCTATGACGTTCAGAGTAATATCTGCTTTCTTATTTTCAGGGAGTCAGACGAGTGAATACCCCTTATCTCCTCCTTCATCCCGTCGTAATTGCCCTTGTAATTTTTTAACCCTGGCCTGCAATTAATATATTTTTTATGTTGAACTGAATCAAGCTTTTTATCTTCTTACAGGTATAGATAGAATATTCCAAGTAGACTACAAGATGGGTTACTGTATAAAATCTTTTGGAACTCCAGGAAAGGCGAGTGGGCAGTTTAATGACCCTGCTGGAATTACAAGTGATAATTTAGGCTACATTTATATAGCCGACAGTAGGAATCATAGGATCCAGGTTGGTATCATTTTCCATCTTAATTTATATAACTAATGCTCATTTAATTAAAGATAATCTAAATTTGTATTAGTACAGGTACTGTGTACAGTTGGGATAAAAGTTCATTTCCTCCCAAATGAAGCCTCATAGACCCTAAACGAGATAAAGCAACATGCCCACACCAGACTACAGTGAGGGTAAGTATTTACGAAACAAGTAAGCTTGGAGGCTCATTCCTGGGACTCCATTTCACCACAGGGAGTGAGGTTTTGTCCTTGACTGTACTTACTCTTCCTGGTTGTATTTTCAGGGGTGAAATTTTCATCTTTAGCTTCCTTTTTTCCATGTTTTATATAAAAGATATTCCTTAGTGTGGACTGTCTTGTGTTACTTCACTATCATAGTCGACTTATAGACCATAACACTGTGATGTCCCTCTAGCTTTACTGATACAGTAGAACTTCGATATTACACGAGGTAGGTTCCAAGAGAGGTCGCTTTAAACCGAATTCGCACAAGAATAAACAAAACATTGTTTTTTTGTAGTACTGTATTTTGTTAAATCAAACTCATAAATCAACGCAGCAAAAATTAAGGGATGCAAAATGGTCTGTTTACTGGCTGGGAAAATGGGGGGAGGGGGGAGGTGATATGTTTGACAGTTGATGCCAAGGTCTAGTGCTTCTTTATTTATCTGTCCTTAAGAGTGACTAAGTTTTTGCTCTTATAAAATGTCACCTAGCTGACATGGGAGAATATAATTAACATTGCTGGAATTCTTATAAGATAGTCCCCAGTGAATGGAAAGTGGCTTATGTGAGTCCTATCTTCAAGAAGGGCGATCGTCACTCCACGAACAACTATAGACCAGTGAGCCTGACCAGCATAATATGTAAAGTACTTGAGAGTAGTATCAGAGATGCTGCAATGGAACATCTACTACGAAACAACCTTGTAAAGGATTGCCAACACGGTTTCATGCTGGGGCGCTCCTGCTTAACATTATTGGATATTTGGACCCATATTCTGCAACGGGGTGGTAATATCGACAATATTTACCTAGATTTTGCCAAGGCTTTCGACAGTGTACCCCACGAAAGGCTGAAAATCAAACTGGAAGAGTACGGAATTCGGAGAAATGTCCTAGCGTGAATAGAAGACTTTCTACATGACCGCAAGCAGTGTGTGGTGATTAATGGCATGAAATCATTAAATGTACCTGTCACAAGCAGGATACCACAGGGCAGTGTATTGGGCCCACTGTTGTTTGTTTGTTTCATAAATTACATTCTTGACGTTGTACACTCCTCCATACAAATGTTTGCCGATAACGCCATGTTATTTCGGGAAATCAAGAACCAAGCGGACTGTGAAGTGCTGCAGAAGGACCTCTGTGAGCTCCAAGAATGGTTGAAGACATGGCTGCTGAGATTCAATGTCACGAAGTGTAAGAGGATGCACCTGGGGCGTACCAACGGTAAGGAGGCGTATCATATGTCCCAATGGGATGAAGAAACTGCACTATTTGAAAGAATGTGAGAAGGACCTAGGTGTGTGTGTTGACAATGAGCTAAGTTCTCGGGCCATTGCGAGAAGAAGGTAAGTCAGGCAAATAAATTATTGGGTCTTATAAGAAGGTCGTTCAGATATGTAGATGGTCCGTCCCTCGTAAGAATCTTCAAGAGTGAAGTGCTTCCCCATCTGGAGTACTGTCACCCCGTCTGGTCCCCGAGATATGCTAGGGACTGTCAGTTGGTTGAAAATATTCAAAGGAGGGCCACCAGACGGGTGCCTGCACTTCGGCACCTCAGTTACCCTGAGAGATTGGAGTGCCTGAAGTTGCCTAGCTTATGCTACAGACAGGCAAGGGGTGACCTAATTGAGGTGTATAAGCATCTCAAGGGGCACAACTCAGTCGAGTGTCCTTACTTGGAGCTGGCGGACGCTCGCCCCACAAGGGGTCACAGCTCAAGATTGAAGAAGCTGCAAGTCCAGAAAACTGTGAGGGCAAACTTTTTCGGAGTGAGAGTTGTGAACTCTTGGAACAATCTACCAGAAAGTGTTGTGATGGCACCGAGTGTGAGCTCTTTCAAGACAAGACTTGACCAACACTGGAGCGGGTTCAGGTACATTCAGGAGTCGGTGCCTGCCTAGTACTTGCCAACAGTGCGTAACAGAGACGTGACCGATTGCCCAAGCGGCTAACGAGCCGATCTTTTGGTGAAGAGGATAAAAGAAAAGGAAAAGTAAGCAGAGACATGACCGATCGCCCAAGCGGCTAACGAGCCGATTAGTGGTGAAGAGGATAAAAGCAAAAGCATAACAATGGCATAAGTGATCAGTCGTGCCAGAGGTGAATGACATATTTTGGCATGGCAGAAACTTACCAGTTGTAGGACACTTTTATTACTTATTATGGTTATTTTTAAATTATATTATGTGCTTTTAACACTTTCATAAATCATATTCAGGTGCACACAGATTTAGTATGAAATAGTGGATGATGCAAACACGTTTATCTGAAACAATTGATGTACTGTATAATGGAAATTTTGTATACCCTATATTTGTTAACAACGTATATGTGAAATGACATTTTCTGGTACAAGGTACAGCGAAGACAACCTGTACATGGAAAACTTCAGGGACCGTTCTCTCATAACCTGGTTTTGGCGGATTCGTCAGTTGTATGCCAAGCGCCTCATTTAGTAAGTTCTTTCCATTTTTATTTATGATGTCTGAGATTACACTGATATTTTAAATGTTTTGGGTTTCAGGTATATGATCCCTTTCTGGACTTTGCTTGCATTCTGGAGAAGGATGCACCATTGTTCCGTCCATCTGGGATACATGTTACTCCTAATGATGACCTCCTAGTTATAAATTACTGGGAGAACTCTATTGCCAAGTTTAACCTGATCACCAAGAAGCCCATGGGGTATTAGTGACTGAAGTGAATAATATACCATTCAAACCACTTGGCCATGGAGATCATTGTATTATTTACATAAATTTTCTCATCTTTGCATAGGAAGGAGTATAAGGTGTCCAAAAGTTAACTAATTTTCGTATGGGTTACTGCCTTTGTTTTCAATATTTTGTGTCCATAATGTTAACAATAATTGAGGTATTGAAATGCTCTCTGGGATTGTTTGATTACCATAAACCTTATTACCAGAATATAATATGTGAATGATTGGACACTGTTTTTCATATAGTACTTTTTTATTTTAAGACAAGGTTACAAACTGTCAAGTTGTACTGATCAAATATATAGAAGAAATAGTAGGTATCACATGTTGTTGGTACAATTAAACAATCTTAAAAAAGGTTTTGCTTCCATATGTCAAATTTTGTGTGATAATTTTGCCTAAAATGTTCCCTTTCTTGAGTCCTTTCCTTTCTTTCCAGCCTTTCTTTTATATCTCCTCATCCTCTCTCCTTTGTTTCTCGATTACTGTTCTGGTGCCCCAGGTAGCAGGATACTCTACTTGACTTTTTCAGTACCTTATGTTAAGTCTTCACAATGGATACTAGTATATGGATGAAGAGTTGTGTTAACAGATTATAATGTTGTAATTAATCAGGTTGTCATATTCAGATGTGCATTTTCACAAATACCCTTTTCAAAAATGCTGTATGTTGTAATTAATCATTTTGTTGAGAAAAACTGTAGTTGAACTAAAGTAAAACTTCACTAGTTCACACACCCTAGTGACTAAAAGGTGTACAAATTATTTAATTTTGGAAATTATCCTTGGCTGAAACACAAGTGAAGATTAAAATGTAGGCCAAAGTAATAGCCTGCACACAGTAGACAAGCATCAAAGTATGTGTTTAATAGATGCGGTATAGTGTATTGTATTAATATGTGTATTTACCACTCAAGAGCAAGGGATATGGGATAAATCATGTAAACAGTTGAGGTTAAGGTGAGACCATTTTATAACAGATGCTGAAACGTGGGCAATTGATGAATAACAAAAAAAGCTTTTGAGTTGATGCCCCAAGACTTCCAGGACCCTTCTCCTTGTGTGCCTGGCATTTGCATAAAAAATAATTAAAGATTAAGAAAACCGAAGATTGGATTTCTTCACATACTATCACAGCCCAAACTGGTGTGTTTGTTGCTAGAGTTAAAAAGCTATGAATTCATCACAGCCATACTTCTGCACATGCACTTTTGATCCAAGCAAGAGCCTAGACCCAGTCTGAACCGACCATCATATCTAGCTCACCCGAGCAACCTTAATGATTAGGGAGGGGTCTGATTCAACCAATTTCATGCTTAGGTATAAAAGTAGGTTTTAGAATCAATCCTTCAGTTTTCAGTCTGACCAATATTATCTCATATATTTTGCAAAACTTTACAGGATTTTCCCGAGTTCATATAGTTAAATCTGCGAGTGTAATCTGTGTTGATCTTTCATGAGTTACAAATACTTAAGTTTGAACTAGTGACGTTCTTACCATATTGAGACCTTTTTGTGCATATTTGGATGTATGCTCACCAGTTTGTTAAGTGGAAGTCCAACTCTGTAGTGGCAAGCAGAAATCGTGATGATTACCTGTACATTGGTAAAAGAGAATCTTGGTACTGTACCTGTATTTTAATATGATGTTGAAGAATGATGGCTGATTATTAGTTAATTGAAGAGTAAAGTGGTTTGTTACTAGCTGTAATTGCCAAATGACTTACTTTTTGTTTGAACACAAAAATGTGTTTGAGAGAGAGAACCTGTCTGTGTAGTGTTTTTGTTTTTGTTCATGGTTGCATGTGTATATACACACATATACAGAGAAGTCTGTAAATGATACACTTTTGGAATGTAAGTGATATGAATACTGTAATATATACAGTCATGTTGCATCTTACACGGGGTTATATTCTGCAGAGGGCGCGTAAAGTAAAAAATGTACCCCTAAAGTTCATGGGTATACAGTATATACCTATCAATAGTGCATTTGGCTACACAGCTGGTAGACCTATTTCAGTTTTAAATGTGCACCACACACAGAATGTGCCAAATTTTCTTTATAAAATTATCATTATAAGGTCTAAAACATAAAAGTAATTAATCATTATGTGTAGAAGCAAGCACTGAGGGTGAAAAGGAGAGCTACAACTGGCGTTTCCTCACTCACTGCTCCGCTCTCTCACTGTCTCCTGCAAAATGGCAATGCAATATTTTATTTTATTTTTTATTTATTCCTCACATTTACTGGTACAGTATATATTATTTTAAGTACAAAGAATACGTTCTTCTGCACACATGCCTCCCACACATCCAGCTCGCAACACATTTCAGGCAATCTCCCAGCTCAGCCAACTCACAGACGTGTGGCGGCCACTGTGGTGGGTGTGTGTCATGACATCACGTCATGCATTTTAAGCCCAGTAACCCACCTCCTCATAACACATTTACTTCCCACATAGGCCTTTTATTTTTCTTGTTTTAAATTATATTTTTCATATTTCTAAGCCACATTAGAGTATTGTAATGATTTATTTTTATTTTTTTATTTCATTAAAAACAACAATAAATCGGTGCCTAGGCTGGCGAGTTGGAGACGTAGTTATAGCTCACCACCACCTACACACAGGTTCACTTCTCACACATACACTCCCATGCTCTTCATTTTTCTTATTTTCTAGCTTTATATTATATTTTCTTTATTTCTAAACCATATCATTTATATAGAGTAGAATAATTGTTAAAGAAGTCCGTTTTTCTGAGAGCCACGCCAGGAGTCAACTGGCTGATATACCAGTCAGCTGTGGCCTGCAAGAGGTGGTAACTCATGTTACATATAATGAAACTATAAAAGTTGTTGAAAAATCATTTCAATACTCTAATGTGACTTAAAAATAAAGAAAATATAATATAAAACTAGAAAAACAAACTTGAAGAGCATGGGTGTGTATTCTGTGTGGGAGATAATCATAAGTGTGGAAACTGGGCACATTGGCAACTGAGTTGGTTAGGCCTTTTTCAGTTTAAATGGCACCACACAACCACCTCTACTGTAAGTTTACTTAATCCTCTTTGCCACTGATTGTCAAGTTGATTTCAGCAGAGAATACATAGGAAAACTAATGAAAGCATAAAAACCCCCCACAAATTATACAGCTGGGATGTGCTGTCTCTGCTGACCAACCCTTAGCAACTGTTGCTAAGGGTTGGTCAGCAGAGGCACACAACCCAAAACCCCTCCCCTGCTAAGTACACTTGGCAAGAGAGGCATGGGTGGAAGTATCTCCCCCAGCTAAACATTTCTATACTCACTGTGTCGTTCTCCCCCTAAACTTCTCCCAAGGGCAAGCATGTGAAGTTGAAACCGCAAAGTTAATGCGCGTAAGATGCGACACGATTAGCCAGGTAGTACCGGTAATATCTCCGTTAGCCGGAATCCCTCTTACCTGGAACTCTCCGATAGCTGGAATTGAAATTTTCCAAGGGGCATATTCTCTGGAAAATAAAAAAAAATAAAATAAAATTCCAGTACCTGGAAAATTATAGGGATGGGGGAGTTTTTTCTCAGGTTTGAGAAGTAAAAATCTGGTGCCTTTTCGAGAAATTACGAAAATAAATTTTCAGAACCTGGAAATTCCGGGGATGGGGAATATTTTTCCGGGTTCAAGAGTTGATGGAAATGCACAATTTCTGGAACTTCTGATAAAATATTTCCCTTAACGGAAAATTCCACGGATGAGGGATTTTTTTTCCGGTTTTGAGTGATGATGTAATGTGCAATTTCTGGAACATCCGAGAACATTTATCGTTACCCGGAAAATTACGAGGATGAGGGATTTTTTCTGTCATTGAGAGAGTAGTCTCGTTACTCGAAACCTCTCATTCCCGGAAGTGCTCTGCACCAATTGTTCTGGCTAACGGAGATTTCCATTTAAAAGGATGTTTTATTTGTGATGTATAATATTTGGCATATAACTTTGAGCTTAAGGATTAATTTGTATTTCTTTTTCTTCTCTCCAGCAAATGTGTAAAGAATTTAATTGAAAACTTTCTTGGTTTTTTATATTCTGTAATATGGTAAATTTATTTTAAATTACTGTATAATGGGTTCTAGTAGATTTTGACAATGGAGAAAATGCAATAAATTTGTTCAGTGCATAGAAAGTTCTTTCCTCCTTTATAGTAGAAGCTTTGCAAATATTTTGTCCTCAAGGAATCTGGGTTATTTTATTATGATAGTACTTACAGTATTATTTAAATATTGTTAAACTTAAGTGCCTTATTTGTGCAACGATGTATCTTATCAGAAGCTGTATAAACCTAATCTTTTGTACACCTTTATTGTATCTTTTTCATGTAGTATTATAAATGTCATTCAAACTTATTCTGTATCAAGGGGGTTGTATCATGCATGGCCTATTGCATGGTGGACACCAACCCAAACTAACCTTCTTGTTTTTGTCTTTCCTGCTGTAAGGAATAATTAACCCCATAACTGTGCAGCTATTAAGTGCTCTACAAACTCTCTAGGGAACAGAAGCCTGTCTTTCTTCTGATTTTCAAAAGATCTAGAGATGAGTTGTACACTAACTTCTGTCAGTGTTGACTGTTGATTAGTTTTATGAACTTTTTCTTTATTAAATGTATTTAATACTGATAACATTCTAATTTTCAGAATTGCTAGTCGACATCAAAGTATCATTAGGATATATAAAATGAGCAGGATACTGTTACAGTATATTGTAGACAATATAAGGCTGGAACTTTGAAGTTTGGGGCTGTTATTCGTTTTTGGACCACCCACAACTTTTTGGACAATACACTGTTCTGTATTATGTTTTTTCTATATATTTTATGCTTTGAATGGATTTTACATTCATCTCGTGCGCAAGGTCATGAAAACCCTAGCCACTCAACCCAAATTGTGGGGTTAAAACATGCAAAAAATTTAACCAAACTTAATAAAATCT